TCCTGCCTGGTGTCAGGTGACCCTCATTATTACACTTTTGACAAGCTGACGCACCACTTCATGGGCAACTGCACCTATACCCTCTCCCAACTGTGTGACCGAAACAACTCTCTGCTCCCCTACTTCAATGTGGAAGCAAGCAACGAGCACCGAGGGGGCTACACACACGTCTCCTACGTTGAGAGTGTGCACGTTGATGTCTTTGGTATCCGGGTCACCCTGGGAAAGGGAGGAAGAGTGACGGTACGTGGAGCGGTTGCTGCTGCGGCTGAAGGACGCCTGTGGGGTACGAAGGAGCACCGTTGTTCCTCAGTCCCCTACAGTGATGCCTGAATCTCTTTCTAGGTCGATGGGGAGCCAGCCATCGTCCCCTCCACCCCAATAGCAGGGGTGGAGATCTTGCCCAGCGGCTTCTACACAGTGGTCACTACAGATTTTGGGTTGAGTGTCAAGTTCGACGGAGACCACCAGGTGGAAGTGTCCCTCCTCAGCACGTACAAGGGTGAGGTCTGCGGCATGTGCGGAAACTACAACGGGGATCCTTCTGACGATTTCCTCAACCCCGATGGGGAACCAGAGCCTGACTCCACAAGCTTGGGCAACAGCTGGCAGGTGGCCAACCTCACCAGGTTTGTAGCTTTCATCCCTGAATGGCAGCCTTGGTCCAGGAGGGAGATTGTAGGGTATTGAACCAGGGTGTTGCTTTTGTCTCCAGTTGTTCCTCCGGCCAGCCTCCTGCCTGCACAGAGGATGAGAAAGACACAGCCAAGAGCAGCGATTTCTGTGGACGCCTGACAGATATCAATGGACCATTCAGACATTGCCATAACGTCTTGGATCCAGCGGGGCATTTTGAAAGCTGCCTTTATGATCAGTGCGCTCTGCACTTAGACCCAGGCTCCCTCTGCAGGAGCTTGCAGTCCTACGCAGACGCCTGCCAGTCCCTGGGAGTTGCCATCGAACCCTGGCGGAATGCCACCTTCTGCCGTAAGTTTTGTGGCAGCAATGCCTCTGGTGGGGATTGTGTATGAGGAACCCCAGGGGTCACTGGGGAAGTCTGGGGATCCCCTGGAAGAGGGAGGGTGGTTTCTCTGTCTCTTTGAAGAAGATGGCTCCCGTCGAGACAGGCACATATATCACCACGTTCTCTCTTGGAGGCACACTGAATGTAACTCCAGTTTAGCCTAGAAGGCAAATATGCTAAATCCCTGGAGGGGATCCTGAGAGCAGGGAATGTAATCCAGGAAGAAACCACCAACATGAGGGACTCTCCTCCAATTCAGTTGACGAATGCGATGTGCTTTTCCTGACCCAGTTTTCGGCACTGAGTTCACGGAGATCTTCTTGCCTCCTACAGCTCCTCAATGCCCACCCAACAGCCACTATGAGCCTTGCGCCAACGCCTGCCCACCCACCTGCAAGAACCCCAGCGCGCCGGCCACATGCAATCTGAAGTGCAGGGAAGCCTGTGTCTGTGACTCTGGGTTCTTCCTCTACAATGGCAACTGTGTGCCCAGCCATCAGTGTGGGTGCTGGCACCAAGGGAAGCACTACCCAGTGGGCTCCAGCTTTTGGACCGACGACACCTGCTCCACCATATGCACCTGCCCCAGTCAAGGTGGCCAAGTCAACTGCTTTCCTGGTTCCTGCCCTAACCATTATTACTGCGGAGTCCAAAATGGTGTCCCCAGCTGCTACCCACATACGTACGGGGTCTGCCGTGTCCACAACGACCCTCATTACAACACCTTTGACAAACAGACGCACCACTTCATGGGCACCTGCACCTACACCCTGGCCAAGGTCTGCGCCAATGAGACGGGGCTGCCCTACTTTAACATCGAGGCCAAGAACGAACACCGTGGGAATCCCTCCGTCTCTTATGTCCAGCGAGTCCTGGTGGAGGTTTACGGGCACCGGATTGAGATCCTCAAAGGACACAAGGATCGAGTGCTGGTAACCCAAAGCAGTTTCTCATTTCCTACTTGTGCTTTGAAGTAGAACGAAGCCATAGTCCTTCCCGATTCTCTGCTGATGGTCTTTGATTGGCACGTGTGGGGAACTCCTGTTTCCTAATTTCTGGTGGAATATCAGTTTGATCAGGGATAACTGGGAGCCGAATAGTAACAGCCTCTCCTTTGATTGGGGCCAGGGCATGATTTCTTATCGATTGATTGATTTTTTTTTATGATGCTTCTTTTCCCTCTCCTGGAAATCTCCTCAGAGTCAGTATTTCCGTACGGGGACTTAGTCCTGGGGAACCTAACTCTTCCCATCCTGATCATCTCCAGACGGTTCCTTTCTTGGGAAATACAGTTACAATTTGTGTCCGACTCCTTCTAGGTGGACAAAGTGCTTACAAGGCTTTCTGTGCGCAAGCTGAACAACGCCCTGAGAGTGGACCTCAATGGACGCTACGTGAGCCTAGAGACGGACTTCGGGCTGATGGTCTCTTACGACACAGATCACTCGGTGGAGATCAGGGTCCCCACCACCTTCTTCAACCAGACCTGCGGCATGTGTGGGAACTTCAACAACCGCCGGCAGGATGACAGCATGATGCCCAACGGAGAGCAAGCCAAGAATTCCACTCAGCTGGGAAACAGCTGGCAGGTGCCCAATGCAGAGTACGACCCCCCTGATTGTAAGGGCCCACCCCACCACCACCCTTGTCCCCCAGAGCTGGAAAATCTCTATGAGACAGAGGCCTATTGCGGACAGCTTACCAGTAGCCAGGGACCGTTGGCAGTTTGCCATTCTGCAATCAACCCCAACAGCTTCTTCCAGAGTTGCCTCTTTGACCTGTGTGAACTGAATGGGTCCCCGGAGGCCTTGTGTGGTGCTTTGGAGGCGTACGCTGATGCCTGCCAAAGAGCTGGCGTCAAGCTTCCCGACTGGAGGAATGCCACTTCCTGCAGTGAGTATCCACTTAGAGTACCCTAAAAGATAGACAATTGACCCAGTTGGGGAAATATGCTCTCTTGGTCGGTTGCGGTAGCATTCCAGGTCATGCAAAAGGGCAGGTGTCACCGAAAATCTCCCTTTGGCTGAAGGATTTGCTTGTCTTTGGGTGGTGCTTGGGGTGGGCCATCAGCTTAGTTATGGCCTCAACCGGAAACTCATTTAAGACCCAGATTCCATGGCTCCCTCTGTCACGATCCGTTTGCAGATGGGATTCCTTGAGCACATAGAATCCCCGAGCACATAGAATCGATCCATAATCCCTCTTCTTTCCAGCATCACTGGTAGCTTCCTGCTGCACAGCACGGGGACCAGAAAAACTGCTCCAATTGAGCATGGCCTTGGGAAGCGTAGTACCTCACTTTCTGGGTGGTTCCTGCTTTGTTTTGTAGAAATCCCTTGCGGTGATCACAGCCATTACAACGTGTGCGCCACTTCCTGTCCCGCCACATGTTCCAATCCACTGGCGCCGTGGAACTGCACCAAGCCTTGCGTGGAGGGCTGCGAATGCGACAAAGGCTTTGTCCTAAGCGGAGCACAATGTGTGCCGCGGGAGGATTGCGGCTGTGTATCTGGAGATCAATATTATCAGGTTTGTCCCCAAGCAACGTCTGTGGCCAGGACAGAATCTGCAGCAACTTTCACAACAGGGCAGGGGCCTCATCTTTTTCTCTGGCTTTTCTCCAACAGAAAGGAGAGACGTTCTGGCAGCCGGATTGTGTCGGCCAATGTCACTGTGCAAATAACGGCAACTTGTCCTGCAACCCAGACAGTTGCAAGAACGACCAAGTCTGTAAAGTACAGAATGGCATCCTGGGATGCTACATTCCAGACAAGGCCACCTGCCACATCTACGGAGACCCTCACTATGTCACCTTCGATGGGCGACTCTATCATTTCCAGGGTGGGTGCAATTACACCGCAGTGCAAATCTGCAGCAACTCCTCCGAGCGCTTCTCCGTGACCACTCAGAACGAACATCGCTCCAGCCCGCACTGGACGGCTCTCAACTCAGTGGCCATCTCACTGAGAAACGCCCACCTGGCTCTGAGGAAGAACAGAGAGGTCTACGTGAGTATCGCACCCTGAAGAACGGTGCCAGGGCAAGTGACTAATGGGATGAAG